TCATTGTGTATTTAAATCAAATCATTGTGTATTTAACTCGAATTTTGCTACAGTAGGCTACGTTCTTAAGTATGGGTTGTCCGTAAACCGGGCATTCTTAATCTGGGGGTTACCTGTACAGCATTCCATTTCTTCTTTAATTTTGTTAAAAATGACTGGAGGAAGTGCCTTTGCATGCTTAGGTCAAGAAGATACCAACCATATCAAAATACATTTTTATCTCAGTGCAGTCTTAAATCAGACTTTGCCATTGATCTCAGCAGAAGTATCCACAGCTTTGTTTGCTGTGTATTATGAGAAGGCAAGGAGTCCAGCTCAGCTGAGAAGAAACATTCCCATTGCCAATATGGTTGTAGGTGCACCTTGCTCCAAATCCCATAATGAACAAACCCACTAGTTTTGAATTAATTTCAAAAACACGGGGGACTGAATAGAACTTCAAGGATCCTCTGTTACATTTAGAAAGTTTGTGTGGAAGTTCCCCACTTCTAGGAATGATTCTGGTAACAGCAGCCACCAATGCCAAGAGTGCCAGCTGATTGTTTTTTTCCTTCTAGACAGCATATGCTACATGCAAGCTACTTTGATGGGGGGAAGGTAATTCTTGGTGGCTCTTACTCTTCTATTTCCTCACTTACTACAAAAGTTAGGCTACATTCCATATTCCTGACATGTGCTTACAGAAGGCGGTCTTCGGGCTTGAGTGTTGATTCCTACCTTCTGGAACTGTATTAGGCCTTAGACTTCCTTGATCATATTCTTTCTCATGATTTTTAAACACAGCAGCCTGGTCAGCACTGGCTGCATAGCAACAAACAGATGACACTTGGATGTCCAAAAGGACTAGTCTTACTGACTTCTCTGTAATCCTTTCCTGTTTGAATCTTACTTTCTTCTTGTCTTCTTTGGCCATATAGAGCAGACTTTGGGCAAGGAAGGTGGAATAAACTCCCTATAGCTTATTAAGTGGAGTTATTCCTACATTACTAGATTTTGGCTTTACATCTGTGAACTTTACCTCTTATATGTAACTACATGACAAATAATGGTTGAGTGTGTTTTGTACCAGTTTTGCATGCTGTACTTTAATTTTTGCAGTGGCTCTCTAAGTTTGCCCAGTACTGAAAATAACCCTGATGAACTTGCATAAGATACTTGATGCTTGTTAGATGCTAGCTGGAAGACAGCATTGCTGTTCGAAGCACATGTTCTTTGTGCCCAGCTAATTCCACCTCATTGCAAATCACTTCATGGAGTAAGGCTTGCATGTCAGAAGGATGACAACTGAAAGCACTGTCCTAACCAGTTAAATCTCACCTATCATATCATGATGGAGCCGGAGCCAGATAATTACGCTTCAGCAAAAAAGGGGACTACGGTGCACTATTTTCCAACCAATTCTCCTAATCCAGGCCTCCCCCCACCCCACACCACCAATAGCTGAAAATGTTCCAGCCAAACGTGCATTCTTCACGCACCTAATGTCGGATCCCTCCAAGACTGTTTAAGAGCCCTACAAGCCCATGCTTCGGGCCCTCTCCCACCCCACCAGTGATATAGCCACAGGTTTTGTATCAGATGGGCCTCCGGGGCAAAATCCCTGCAAAATTGTGCCAGAATCCTACCAGATCACACTCCCACTTTGCCTGGACAAGTCCGGTCAAAGTGGACCCAAGTTCTAGCAGTGATCCTACTCTTCCTGTTTAAGTCTGCAAAATGTGCAACTCCTTGATTTGCTTATGACCACTCAGTCTGAGAAGCACTATTGTAGTGTATATTGGAAAACCAGGAAGGATACTATCTTGTCATGTTGATTCATCAGGACCAGAATCAGAATTGAGTCAGCTCATAACTTTCATGCTCCATATCATCTGCCAATTGTTTGTATTTGTTTAAATGAGAAAATGAATAGATTTGTAAGTCATGGAATATAAGAGTGTGTCTTGGATAAATGATTAGTTTGGTATAAACGTTGCTTGCCCCCAGCTATAAGATCTGTAAAAAAATCAGAGATGGGTTGCAGTAGTTATAAATACTGTTTGTTGCTTTGTTTTTAGTAACATATAGTACTATGATGTTACTACCATAATAAATGATCGATTTTCTGAACCCTGATCCAGTGGGACACAGGACCCTTCCACATCAGGCCCCTTTACAAATGGATGAAGTGTAAGTGTGAAAATTGGAGATGGATTTGATTTTCCCCACATTGTATCCATCTGCCAACAGGTCTCAAAACGAAAAGGAGCCATGTACAAATTGTTATTTCTGGCTGAGCCTGACTCAGTTCATCTGGAATCACACAAGCTAAATGTATGTTTGGAAAGTCCCAATTTTTGTAGTATGTTCACACATGATAAACCCATTTTTGGCTGTATTTCATCATTGTGCTTTTATCTACTGTTAATTTTCAACAGGAACATTAGATGCTTAATGTGATGTAAAGGATATAGAATAATATGGCTAGAAACCACAACATTGCTTGTAATCTGAACAGTGATAGGCAAAGTCTGGTGGTACATAAACTTTGTTAGTGATCTTTCTCATGATAATTGCCAACATACATATATCATGAAGCTAAACAATGCAGCTTCACAAAGTTATATTGGTGGATGTCCATTACCTGTATGAGGAATTAGACCAGAGACAGGCAGCATGGGATGTACAGACCACCGTACTCCCAGATACTTTCCTTGGTATCTGTGAGGCTTTCTGACTCATATTTTATTTTTCATTACAATGAAATAAATAAATACATAGATAGATAGCAAAATGGCATAGTGCAAAGCAAAGCACCAGCCCCTGACATTTTTTTTTTTTTTACAGAAATAGCTTTGTGATCCAGGGATGTCCCAACTGAATGATAGAGAGTACCCTGGAAAACTCCTTTGCTTTTTGATAAACAGGTTTCATGTGTCTGGACATGCCCACCTGTGACAGCTACCTTTATGAGTCGTTCGCTATATGCTCTTAAACTTCCAAATTTGTCCCAGCCTAAAAGAAATCCCTTTTTTTTTCTGATTTGACTATATTTAGTGGGAAAAAATAAGTGATCTAGTCAATCCAGAGATACCAGATTGAAGAAGGTTGTCCTTGAGGTTATAATATCGAGAAGGAGCAAGGTGCCAAATATAGTTGTGTCTACAGGGGGCTTTTGACAAAAGCCTTTGTTCCCGCAGCCACCTCTGAGCGAATATTTACATTTTTCTAAGATATTTCCAGGCAGCCCCAAAGGTTACATTTCCATCTTGAGGAAATAAGGCCAAATGAAAAAGAAAGTGGCGATAGATTTTCAATTTGCTGTTGAGTAAACAGCTGGAGATCCCCATGTAGTCACCAAGAGTCAAGCTTGACCTGAGAGAGTCTGTTTTTTGTTTTCTTTTTATGTATCCTGTATTCAGTACATACACTGTAAGTCTTTTGATCATCATCTGACACCAGTGCAAGACAAGAATGTACCTTTTTTTAAAATAATAATAAAATAAAATATATTGAAAATGTTAATTACAATAGTAAAAGCAAATACAGACTAAAGTTAGAGAGAAAGAGAGAGAGAGAGAGAGAGAATAAAATGCAAAGAAAAAAAGAAAAAGAAGATAAAGAAAAAGCAA